TGATTTTTGCTGGCTTAGCAAATGTGGAGATAAAAATGCAAGTTATTACCAAACTGCACTCCTTCCTTTCAAAATTCGCGTTTCCCAAACAGAAGCAAGTTACAACTAGAGATTTTTATGGTACTTAGAAAATACTTCAATAGACGGATATTGAAAGTTTCATATCAATCGTCGAGAACCCTGATTTTTGCTGGCTTAGCAAATGTGGAGTTAAAAATGCAAGTTATTACCAAACTGCACTTCTTGTTTCCAAAATTCGCGTTTGCCAAACGGAAGCAAGTTACAACTGGAGATTTTTACGGTACTTAGAAAACACTTCAATCGAAAGATATTGAAAGTTTCAAATCAATCGTTCAGAACTCTGATTTTTGCTGGCTTAGCAAATGTGGAGATAAAATGCAAGTTATTACCAAACTGCACTCCTTCTTCTCAAAATTCGAGTTTCCCAAACGGAAGCAAGTTATAACTAGAGATTTTTATGGTACTTAGAAAACACTTCAATCGAAAGATATCGAAAGTTTCATATCAATCGTCCAGAACCCTGATTTTTGCTGGCTTAGCAAATGTGGAGATAAAAATGCAAGCTATTAGCAAACTGCACTCCTTCTTTTCAAAATTCGCGTTTCCTATACGGAAGCAAGTTATAACTGGCGATTTTTACCGTAGTTAGAAAACACTTCAATCGAAAGATATTGAAAGTTTCGTATCAATCGTCCAGAACCCTAATTTTTAATGGCTTAGCAAATATGGCGATAAAAATGCAAGTTATTAACAAAATGCGCTCCTTCTTTTGAAAATTCTCATTTCCCAAACTGAAGCAAGTTATAACTGGAGATTTTTACGGTACTTAGAAAACACTTCAATCGAAAGATATTAAAAGTTTCATATCAATCGTCCAGAACCATGATTTTTGCTGGCTTAGCAAATGTGGAGATAAAAATGCAAGTTATTAAGAAACTGCGCTCCTTTTTTTAAAAATTCGCGTTTCCCAAACGCAAGCAAGTTATAACCGGAGATTTTTATGGTACTTAGAAAACACTTCAATCGAAAGATATTGAACGTTTCATATCAATCGTCCTGAACACTGATTTTTGCTGGCTTAGCAAATGTGGAGATAAAAATGCAAGTTATTAACAAACTGCGCTCCTTCTGTTGAAAATTCGCATTTCCCAAACTGAAGCAAATTATAACTGGCGATTTTTATCCTAGTTAGAAAACACGTCAATCGAAAGATATTGAAAGTTTCGTATCAATCGTCCAGAACCCTGATTTTTGCTGGCTTAGCAAATCTGGAGATAAAAATGCAAGTTATTACCAAACTGCACTCCTTCTTTTCAAAATTCGCTTTTCCCAAACGGAAGCAAGTTATAACTGGAGATTTTTACGGTACTTAGAAAACACTTTAATCGAAAGATATTGAAAGTTTCATATCAATCGTCCAGGACATTGGTTTTTGCTGGCGTAGCATACATGGGCGAAGTGATCTCCCGTGCTTTCCGACTAAGGCTGGTGATCATCAGTCGTAGTCGAGAAGCACGGGAGATCCGTTCGCCCACTGCCTCATCGCCTTTGATAATGTCCACCGCAGTTGTGGACGAAACGTCAGGAAGAAATTCCCATAGACCACGGCTTCGAAGCCCGGAAAACATTCCTAAATGTGATTTAACCGGCCGTGAAGCCTTCATAGTCTGAGAATTCATATTTTATTGCAATCAATTTTTTGGAGCTAGCCTCAGGGCTCTTGCCCCGATGAAACAAGGCGAAGCTTACCAAGGCAAAGTGGTGAATTTTTGTAGCAATATCCTTGAGCCCTTGCGGTCCGTGATACACTGCAAACATTGCCGACATGTTAGCCAGCAATGCCTGAGCAGTGCAGATATTGCTGGTCGCCTTGTCTCTTCGGATGTGCTGCTCTCGTGTTTGCAAAGCTAGGCGATATCCGTCTCGTCCAGCCGCATCCCTGGTCACCCCAATCATCCTGCCGGGCATCAAGCGGACCAGCGATTGGTTGCAGGCGAAGAATCCAGCATGAGGACCGCCGTAGCCTAAAGGCACGCCCAGTCTTTGGGACGTTCCAATCGCTATGTCAGCGCCAAATTCGCTTGGTGGCCGCAAAAGCGTGAGACTTAGGAGATCGGTAGCGCAACAGACCAGACTACCTGACATTAATTGAACCCATTTGTGTTAGTTGATTCGCTTGAGTTTCGCCTACCATTGGCATGAGCGTCTTCAGCCACTTGGCTGAAATCCAGCACATTTCCTTCGGTATCTGGATATTGGAAAAGAACCCCAGATACGTCCCGATTGGTGAAATCCGCTTCAAATACATTCACCACTTCCACTTGCAGGCCCAAGGAGTTCAACCTGCGACCAGAACCAACCAACTATGCCAAGTTTTTTTACGCGAGTTTGTTAGTTTACCTGGTTTGGACCACGGAAATGGTCTGCGGATGCAGTTTATCAGAAAGCAGCAACTTGCGCCTCTTGTTTTGTCTGTAGCACAAAGAGAGCGCTTCTGCTGCAGCGGTGCCTTCATCTAAAAGTGAGGCGTTTGCTACCTCTAAGCCGGTCAGCTCGGATACCATTGTTTGGTAGTTCAGGAGGCCTTCCAGTCTGCCCTGGGCCACCTAAGGAGTCAACGGGTTGGGTTAACAAGCAACGCAAAATTTCCTCCAAAATCCAAAAAGTGGCAAATAACAGATTATTGACTGAGGCCCAGATATAAGTCTAGATGCAAAGGACTGTTTTTTTGGAAAAGAGTTCGTACTAGTTAATTTTATTTGCTAATGCGATTTTTTTCACATGCATTTTCCATAATGAAGCAAGTATTTACTTTACTTGAAAAAGTTACCAAACTCCCTCGTTTAAAAATT